GTGTTGCAATTTTTTTACCCCAACATGGATGTGATGAATATCTTTTTGAAAGGGTAGTCAAAATTCGTAATTTATTAACAAAATTATATCCAATAAGTCTACATTTTGTGACTTTAAAACTCTACTTTCTTTAATCAAATAGCATGTCTTGGATTATCAATTCTCTCGCTAGAGTGATCTCTTGAATCAACTTCTTTGATTTCTTTTGAAGCTTTCTTATTGGACATGTTGGACTTTTTTTTTTCTTTGATGAATAGGAAGTGATAGAGGGGTTGGGCGTCTTCTTGAACACGACAAGAAAAAAAGCTTTTTATGGCATTAGGAAGTGTCATTATAAAGATGCTATTACCACGCTGGACTCTTTAAGGATGGTGGTTTTAAGTATGATTTATGCTCCTGTGTTGATTGGTATTAAAGTTATAAGGACATTTCAAAATACCTTTATAGATTGGAAAATCTTATCCTAATTATTTACTAAGCTAATTCTCTCACCACATTTGTAAGTGTCAAGAAAAGTTTTCCAATATGTGGGGAGATTTTCCTAATCACCGTCATTATGGAAACGATTATCAACTTCGTTTTGCTTTTAGTTGTTTATTTATTTTCTTTACAAAATCATATTTCCTTACTGATCAAAAGGTACAACAAAAAAAAGCACAACATAATATTAGCCAGGAAATTTAAAACTCTTATATACACCAAAAGTATTTACAGAATATCAATGAACTCCATTCGAAAAGGTAAAAAAGAAAGAAAGTAGCAAATCTATCTAAAACATTTGTAAAACAATATCCAACAATGTAGAGAGAAATCCTAAATCCTAATCTACTTGAGTCTTGAATGGCATTGATTTATGCATTCTCCCATCTCTTTGGTGGTTAAGTTAATCGCATCTTCCTTCCTCCTTGGTTACCAAACTCAATTTATTGTAACGTCGTCTTTCCAATCTTTTATCTAAAATAGTTAGTAACAAACTGCCATTTTTGTCGAACAATTCTCAAAAATCCTATACATAAATTGCCATCAAATATTTTAAAATTTCATTTGTCAATTCTAACATCCAAATCTCCAAGTATACATGGGTTATACCACAAAAATGGGCAGAAGTTAGTAGTTAGCCAACCACTACAACAAACAAGAACGAAAGGAAAATGCAATTCCCTAGGCACATTCAACAAAAAGAACTGAGAGAATCTTTGTCACAACACCTATAATCTGAAGGAAAACTAATCATATATAGCACAATTCAACAATAAGGAAAACAAGCATAGAGTCACCAAAAATTTGTTCCTTTATATCTACAAAGATCCAATATGTCCCAACCTTCATTATTTAAGCCATTGCCACAGAGAAATGAAAACTTACACCACATGATCACCCATAAGGATGTAATTTGTGATCAATGAGTCTACTTGGGGCCACAGTTAGAGCTTCTGCTACAGAAGGTTCTTCCTTTGTTGTCTTTGACGAATCATTGAATCCTATAAAAGCAGTAATATTTATTACATTCAATCTACAACTATAAAGCCATGTATCTACACATAATCCATAATATATGCAAGCATTCATATCCCTGTGTTAAGTTTTGTAATGATCACTATTGATAAATAGAAAGTAACAAGCTCCTTTATAAACCACCCGCAACATGCATTTCTCTTCTTCCATGATTGTAATATATTGCAGCAAAGTAGCAGAAAGTAAGGAAAAGCTCATCCATGAACAAATTGCAAGAAATAGCAAAAAATTATTTACATCATCACTGTTTGACAATTTCAGCAGTATATTTTGCACTTCCAAGATCCAAGTGAATTCGGACTGACATTTACCACATCTGTATCAGCTCCTGATTCTACAATCTTTTCTAAGTCATAATTTGAAGTCATAATTCATAGATAAACATGAACCATCCAATTTTTCCAAAAAAAACTTTATACATTTTCTATAACTTGGGTGACAAATTATATGGAATTTTCTAAACTTTCCCATGAAAATTCACATCAAAAGTTACAGCTCAAAGAGTCCAAAGAAAACTCCCAAGTTCTCCTTCCCAAATATTAATTCAAAAATCAATATATCCTATTAAAAAAGAAGTCCAAGAGAAAAAAAAAATTTGTTGAGGTGTAGCGTTGTGGTTAGCAGTTTTCTTTCAAAATACCTTAAATCAAAACTACGTCGTATTGCATAATTAAAAAAAATACACTTTAACCATAACATAAAAGCAAGTTCTTGTTACAATGTATATAAAATTTACTGTCAGATATAGAAATTTAATTATATATTATGCTCTAATTCAATATTTTATTTGCAAAAAAAAAAAAACCCCCGATGTTTCGTTTATGGTAAAAAAAATTATTGAAACTTCACGGGTAAAATTATGAAAAAAAATCCAAACGAAATATATTTTTTACATTCAAATTGAATTACTCTAATGCCATTTTTTTCTAAGTTGAAACTTCACGGCTAAAATTACGAGAAAATCTAAGTAAGGCATTGTTCTTATATTCAAACTCAATAACTGTAATATCCATCTTATTTTAAAAATATTAAAATTCAACGGGTAAAATTATGAGAAAAATTCAAGTAAAATGTTTTTCTTATATTTAAGCTCAAAGAAATTAATTTATTATAATATTAATAATCACTTAATATTTATTCCGTCATTTTTATTTCATTTTTATTGTTCACTTATTCTTTGCATCATCTTTTTTTTTAAAATTTATTTCATAATCAATCATTAATTGAGTACTTGGTATTTTTTTCATAACTAATAATTATTTAAATATTAAATTAATAATTCCGTGCAACGCACGGGTGATAGCAAACTAATCTGCGAACAATATTCAATAACCATATGTTGTGGACAATATTTTCTCTTGATCTTTTGCTTCTAGCATAAGCTGCTTCACAATACAGAATTTATATGCACCTAAAAGTACAGCTTGATTAATAAAGTGCAATAACGCGGTGAACTTACTCGTAGGAATTTTGATTCAAATTGATTTACTCTCCTTTGAGAAAAAGGAAAAGTGTTGTGGTGCTTTAATCATCTCAAGCATAAGGTTAAGTTTGCGGCAACAAAAGAACATTTTAATTTTTTCTTGGAAACTTGTTAATTTCCCCTCAATCTTAACACAATGATTCACTAACATATTGTCCAATAATAAATCAACCAGAAATCACAATAGTCCACATGAGCAATAAAATACCCATTTGAAAAATCACAATAGAGGGGAATCAGATACCTTGGCCAAAAGTGTCTCAAATCTGAGTCATGGATGACTTTATAAGCTACATATGTGTCCTAGTCACAAACTCAACAAAGATTGTCAATTGAGATAGTAATAAAGCAGGGAATGGATTTTCTGAATTCCTAATATCCAATTGGAGCAACAAAGATCATAGTCGGTAAGCTTACATTAAAACAATTTAAATCCGGAAGTCGCAGAAACCGCAACCGCCGCACCACCGTCTGCCTTGAGTTTGATTGATGACTGAAAAATATGCCTCGAGAAACCAAAAATTCATAGATTATTTGGAGAAGAGATAAGAAGAAAAATATGGCGGACTTGCCCACCTTCTAAAAAACCAGATTGGTTCCTGAGAGAGAAAATTGAGCTATGGTGAAAAAAAAATTTTGAGGGAGAGTTTGAAAAGGTCAAAATACACAAAGGCAAGTGTAGGGGAATAGTGGAGACTGAAAAATCGTGTTGGGGGTTTAATTCTTTTTTTTTCTTATTTATTTTTTTTCCCAATAGAAATCAAGAAACGTAGTCACAATAATGTGGTTAAAAATAGTTCCATTATAGAAGGGACTCAGTTCACGCTTAAATTCTTAATACATGTCTTTGTTGACATTTTGCTAAAATAGCTTGATATGAGTGTTATTTTTTTTTTTTTTCAAAATTAGTGTCAGTAAAACCCCCTTTTCTTGTAGTGGAAATTGAACTGTATATACTTCACACTCTTATATAATAAGATCTGCTTCATTTTGTTTGAATTCACAGCAGAAAATAAACAAAGACTATGCACACACGACACAAAGTAAATGGCATTGTGTAGGAGAACACGACCATGTGGAATGCTATAATCAATGCCATACCTCTACAAAATGCGATAGGGATAATGTTATATTTATTCATAACCTTGGAGTTATCTACCCAATAAAGGGTAAAAATATAATTTCTGTGAGAAATAAAATTTCAACCGAAAAGTAACAAAAATAGGGAATCACAATAATCCACATCAATCACTAATTTTTCACTATTTTTTGTCAGTGTACCTATCATTTTCCATAAACGTTTTTTCCTTTGTACTAAAAGAATAAGAAATAATCAAAAAATAAAAGACGTATAAAAAATATATACAATGAAATATAATGATTATCTAAATGGTCAATTTAATTTAATTGATTCTCTATGCTTTAATCTTACAACCACGAGTCCAAGAAAAAAATTGAATAATACATCGATTTAGGCGTAGAGATATATAAACTTAAGAAGATGTTGGACCAAATCGGATGTTTGACACTTTAATTTTGAAAAATTTGAATCACTATTTAAAGAGAAAATAAACTTAATTACGCGTCGACTTTTGATCGAAGATATATTAGCCGACGGATATGTCAACAAAATTGGAAGTTTGACGCTTTCATTTTGTTATATAGGATCACGACTTGAAGGTAAAAACATCTATAAACATTTCGTCGACTTTGGCGTCGAGATATTGATCATGACAAACATGTCGGCAATACAGATAAATTTCATTTTAATATATTGATAATCAACTACAAATTACAATCTGTTTATAGCACCATATCTTGACAACTAAATCTCAATACAAATTTCTGGCCTTATATAGCTCTCAACCATTATGACAAATGGGTCTTGATGTAAGAGAAACCTAAGACTATTGATGTTACATTCTTCACAGAGAGAAAGATCTAGTATTGTAAAACAAGTGTATGGTTCTAAAGCTTAGAACTCATGAGTTTTTCTGGTTTACTAGAATCCGAATATACGACGACATGCTCTAAAAATCTTGCCTTTTTTCTTGCCGGGTCTTCTATTGAAAGCTTCCAAATTCGAGATTCCGGCACCGGTATCATCTTCAGCTGCAGTAGTATCACATTGATGATGAATCCTAGAATACCCTTCAGAAACAGAGGATGACCTCTTCATAGAAAGTACCCTTTTGATCACTGAGCTTCCAGTTGATGATGATGATGATGACCATGCATTTTCATTCTGATCCGACATGGAGAAGTAGTTGTGGTGGGGAGATGTTGAGGAACGTAGTGATGATGAACATTTCCTATTCAGAATGACCCCAAAAATTTCTCCATCACTCTGTTCATGAATTGGTGGAGCATGATTAACAATTCTACTGCTCTGTTCTGGGATTTTCTTTTCATGGCTAATTATGTTGGGATTTGGAAGATTGGAACTGTGGTTGGAGATTGGTTTTGGTGTTCTTGATTGGAAGGAAATGTCAGAGAAATCTATGGATCTTGATCTTGCTGTACTGACATCTTTCACTCTTCTGTATCCGTTCATCTTTTGTGGAAGGTTGATATGCTGTTACAAACTTCAAAGCTAAATGATTGTATGGAGTATGGACTATGGAAATTTCGCATTAGGAGGAACCAATTTATAGGTCTTTGAATAAAAAAAAAAAAAAAGGTCTTTGAATTCTGTCGAACGAATAAAGAATGATGTGAATTTTTTTTTTCTTTCGAAAAGGATGTGAAATTTCAATGTTAGGGAGTCATCCTCAAATACCACAAATTTTTTTTATTTGACTAACATTTTAGATTGGATCGTGTTTTGTATTAGCGAATTCAAAGATAGATATAAATTCACGGTAATATTTGAATAAAGTAATTCTAACATGTCGATATCATTCACTTGGTAAAGACGAAATGCGTAATTATCTGGTTAGAGTTGTATCTCGTGTCATACATTATCATCTTTTGATATTCTCGAAAAATGTGAATTATTTTTGAGAGTGGAGGTCAATAGATGGAAACGATGGTGGTTGGAATTACTTTGAAAATGTGGAAAACCATGCCTCAATTGTCAACAATGGAAAGACCAATTCGCATTAACAATTGCTAGTTTGATGTTGAAGTTTACTTGTTTTGCCGTGAAGACAATGGTGTGAAACAGTGGTGTTTTGTAGTGTGGTGCAAACTCTGCAAGTCGGCTCTGTGTTTTCCCTTCAACTTGCTGTCTTGGTAATTAAATTCTCTGTAGAAACAACCCTTCCACGTTATTTGACTTCCAGCTTTGTCTGGTTGTTTAACGTTGTTGTACAAACAAATTCCCATGTCCATGTGACCTGCCTCCTACTCTATGAACTGACGACATGGTCTTTGCAGATCCAAGGTTTCCCCATGTATAATATTCCCCTTTCAATCTACAATTTTCAGTCTAATTCTCATTCGTTAGACTAATACATAGTTACATACTACATTTAAACTCTTTTTTTTAATCAATTTTTAGACAACTTTTCTAGGCAGGAATCACCCAATATTGTCCTTGACAAGGCTCAAGTCCGAAATCTTATGCTACGGACTAACGAGTGTTTTTGTGTGAGTCACAACTCACAAGTACCAGGCCTCTTAAAAAATAAGATCAAAGTCCAACTTGAATACATCTTTTTTTTTCTTTGTTCTTTTTTGCATATTTGCTGGATGTCCACCGTCGACAACAGTGACTAATTTTCTCCCTGAATCTATATCTTTCAAGTTGACTATGGTTTTTCCAAACTTTTCAGTGTGAGAAATTAGTTGATCAAGCAGTTAATGAGTACCAAAGGTTTTTGCAGAAAAGAAATGAGAAAAGAAAAAAATAGTACCATTAAAACCCAAGGCATCCAAGTGAATCAGACAAGTTACACTTCTATCATCTGATGTGTCTGAACTCTGAATCGACCTACCAAATTTGCGACATAGAGGAATGAAATAATCGAAGACAGACATAACTCACTATCCCAATGCTAACAGCATTCTAAAAATATAACATTGTTTTGAAGCAATAGAGAGGAAGTAGAACTATACAATTTGGCGAATAAAGGATTTTGAATCAGTTGACAAACTCAATGCCAGTCAAAGGCTTCCCAGCATGAAGTTGTAGGGCCACATCTCCCACGACCTGCAATTAGCATGAAGAAAAAAGGGACAGATGATGAGCAAATGGATAAACAAATCTGGTTGAGTAAGCATTAAGCATTTTGACAATTCCTACTGCTGCAAGGAAGAAGTAACCATCAAAATACAATCCAAGTGCAATTGAAGTACCTTAGCCATGTATCTGTAGGAAGGTTCAGTAACACCAGCAACATGAGGAGTAATAATGACATTTGGAAACTTCAGAATATCATCATCAGGATCAAATGGTTCAGTCCAAGCAACATCAATTCCTAAGCCTCCCAAGTGGCCTGATTTAAGATGATGATAAACTGCATGGTAATCCAATAAGCCACCTCTTGCTATATTAACCAAAAAGGAACCCTGAAACATAAGCACGATGTTTTAAATCATGAACTTTGCTAGTCCCATATAAGCACAGAAAACTTTTGTCACCCAAAAGCAAAAGTGGGAAAGAAAACACATAGCAAAACACATATTCTTTTAAAAATTAAAAACATTGTGGTAAAAATGCCAGCCTGAGAAGCCTGGAAGTTTGTTATTTTAAAGCCAAAATTGAGAGGAAATACATAGTCAAACATGTGCGGATAAAGTGCAGAAAGAATTTTATCATATGCATGTGTCAATCATCTTATTATATCACTGCATCGTAGCAAGCTAACCTTTTTCAGCGAAGAAATAAAAGCCTCATTGACAATGCCAATCTGGAAGCAACCTTTTATGGTGAGTACTTGAAGCAGAAGCAAAATCATGGATAATGTATTTATTTATGGTGAAAGCTGACTGTAGGATTCTTTTGTTTAGTCCATGTGTAAGGACTCGCCATCAACAATTACATAACTACAGTATGTGTCAGGGTGTCAATGAAAACAAAATAGAGAGAAGTCAAACCGTTTCTGCATTCATTCGCAAACAACAAACAACTATATCAGCTTGACGGGCAAGATTTTGAATGTCTTGATGACTTCCCTTCACATCCACGAGACCTTCATCTGTACCACATTATCCTTTTTAACATACACACAGAACTTAAAGCTAACATTTAAAAGAGGAGGCATGCAGGTTTGCAGGCTTTCCTACCTTCAGCATTGCACGAATTATTCGCATGTATGCCCCAACTTCGTTTTGTAGCAATTATCTTTACGCCAAATGGACGCAACCGCTTCGCCAAGCTAATTCCAATGCTTCCGAAGCCCATAATTAATACCTAATGAGTTAAAGGTAGCATGTTCATTAAGACAAGCAGCAACAAAATGATTAGACAATTAGCAAATCATCCCTCAAATATTCCAAAAATTACTTTTTGGTCCATCCCAAAGACAATGATAAAATCAGCTCCACTTCTTCTCAGTTCCTGACTTATTCACAAGGAATTCTTGTGCTTTATTTCCCAATCAGAAGCAACTTTTCACTATAGCATCAGTAAGTATTTCTACTTGGATGCTCAACACATTTTTCTTCGAGAGAACTTTAGGGTTCCTTTGTTCTGAGATTGTCATGATTCAAGTTTTACTCCAAATGCACTGCTTCTGTGGTTCCATAAAACAAAAAGTTGTGCTTTAAACTTTTCAGGTAGATAGCTGATCAAATATAGTGAAAAAACCTTTCAAACATGAGGATCCTCAGCATCCAACTATTGGATCAACGGCCATCTTTGAAATGCCATATTACTCAGATATCAGGTACTGAATATTCCTCTTCAGCGAAATCTTAAAAGACAAAAAGCATAAGTGGAGCGTTTCAAAGTTAAAGAGACTGACATGCTATCAAATTTTGAAAGATCAAGCTGCTCAGAATCACATTTATTCCAACCACCTTTGAAATGTCAAATATGTTTCAGTTAGTTCTCTTAAACGTCAAGCAAGCAGAATCTTAATGATTTCTGACACAGAAAAAAGTTTGATCTGAGTTGAACTCAGATTACCAGACTAGCTGAACTTTGAAAAGACCATTGGTCACCCAGACAGTGCCACTACCTACACTAAGCTAATTCGCGTTGGCCTTCAGAACAAAAAACCTTTGTATCCATTGAGTTTGTGACAGTTACTTACACTGGCAAGCATATTGTTACAAGCTCAAAAATCAAAGTAAATATTGAACGCTGAATCATAGGCTATGCAGCTGGTGGCCCGTGCCAAATGGCAATATCGATGTTAGTCAAACAATTATAAGTCTCTTGAATTTTATTTTATCAACGTTAACGCATCTTATTTAATAACAGCAATGAATTTTTATAATTGGTGATAACGTTCGTTAAGAGTTTACTTGCATCATCGGAAACTGGAAACCTGTCCTAAATGTAACCACTAATTTAGCCTGATCTCAATATTCATCAATGCACATAGGCCTGCAAGGTTCTCTTTCATTTTCAATCAGAAAGTTGACGATGAATTAAAATTTCATTAGAACATAAGGCAAATGAAGTTGCTTGTTTCCTTTAGCCTCATCTTATGATAACTAAAGGGAGCAAAAGGGAATTGAATGACAGCCTAGTGGTTAGGGTGCTGTCTTTCCTGGTAATAGACCAGGGTTCAATTCCCACCTTGTAAGAGGGGTTTTACCCACATTTAAGTGGGGTTCACTGGGGTGGATTTTTGAAAAAAAAAAAAAAAAAAAAAAAAAAACTAAAGGGAGCAAAAATCAATTATCTAGATTCATCAATTGACAAACAGTGATTTGCCATTTTTCCCAATAGACCCAGCTACATCGGAGTTACATGCACCAAATGAAATAAAAATGGCTGTAAGCTAACTAGGGAAGGAGTAAGAAGATTAAAGTGAAAGCTGTAAATAAGTAGGTGACTTACTGTCTTTCCCATCAAGGTGTCACCAACTGGCACTCCAAGTTTTCTATCCTTAATTGCAACTTGCATTTCATTCTGCAACAAAGGCATGAATAATAAGTACTTAATCAAAGGTACAACAACTATGAACAACTGATTATATGTCTGAACGGTCCATCTACCCATATTATATACTTTCACACGCCAAAATGAAAATTAATAACGCCAATTATGCCTTCTTAGAAACTACCTCAGTACACCTATGCAAGGAACAGAATAGCTCCAAACGAAATGGGAACAAAGGAAGCCTATCCAAGAACATGTGGACCACAAACTTGGACAGCATCGATTAAAATAAACTCATAACAGGTACAGGTGGAGATGCTTAACCAGAGAAAAAACAAAAAGCATAAGGTCAAATTGGACAGCAAGGACCAATAAGCATAAAATATAAAATACAATGGAAAACCAAGCCACAATGAACTTGGTCAGAAAGATAGACAAAGGTAGAAAAGCAACACAGAGTCTCAAATAAACAGTGTTATTTGCAATACAGCTGAAAGATCACAGATGACGTCTGATATCTGAAAAGTACTGAATTCTTAATTCATTGCCATAAAGGCTAATGACAAAACTACTGATCCTAGAGTTCCTTCAACACTCTCTAAAACAAGTCAATAAATTTCCTTTTCATAGTAAACTATGATTATGTGATGTTTCATGAATGTATAAGAGCACAATCTTTTTCTTCCCCCTTTGTGACAATGAATTCTCTGAATAGCGGAATTGCACCTAATATCATGACACAAATGCATTTAACTTAAGGGCAAAAAACATCTGACTTTAGTAAAATCTCATGACTTATATGCAATTACAAAATAAGAGAGTGCAGTAACTTATTTTAATGAGGGCATGTACTATATGTCTTACAAAAATAAAGATTGTAAACCGAGACCTGCTTACGGAGAAGACCCAACATTAAATATATAGCCATTTCAGCACATGAATCTGCATTTCCTGTATTACCACCTGGAATCCTAGCAACCTTGATTCCATGTTTTGAAGCAGCACTTACATCGACCCCTTTATCCATTAATGTCAAATATAGATCAGGCAAGAGAGCATGGAACAGAATATAACAGATAAAGAAAGTTGTGAATCTTTCACCAAAATTTACATTATTACCTTCCAAGCCAACTCCAAACTGCATTATAAGTTTCATTCTCTTCGCTTGAGATATGAGTTCAGAGTCTAATCTCATGTTTTTTACTACGCAAATATCATATTTTTCAATTACATTGGGAACCTCGACCAACGGAACATCATCAACCTGCAAAACACACCATTGAAAAAGCTCAGCAAAAATGGCAAAAGCTCCAGCCATGCGAGTTGAGATCATATGTCATAGCCATCATCTTATAGCAATAAAACACTCTTACAGCAAACTGGTTTTATTAGTTTATTATGCAGTGTACCTGATATAGGGTGTTCACATATTCCTTTTGGAAAGTTTTCAGGTCTGATACTGTTTTGCCTATTCATGTTCAATTTACTAAGCCCAATGCACACAGAATAAACATTTTACAAGTATTTCACTTCCAGTAAGATTATACTTATTCGTCTTGGAAGTAAAACGCTAAAACTGGACCAGCGTTTGCAGATACATACTTTGCAACATGCATGAACTTATAAAAGCATAGTGAATGACCTGTATAAACGGATGATCTTGCACGTATTGTTTTGTATAATCATGGGAAGCTGGAAAATAAGGCCCACAAAAGAGAACACGGGTAATACTCTGGATGCCATTTTCCATGATACTTTGTCTTTCCCGACTAAACCTGCCTTAAGATCAAAGAGGGAACCATCAAACCACAAGAAAAGCATGGTGATAAATTATTGCCTTCTTTTTCATAATCAGATAAACACGCATGTCCTTGTACAAACTTGATACAGATATGAAACATTTGTGGAAATTAGAGAAGTTACTTCACTCATAGGTTGTGATGCAAACTCCTTAGAGAAGCAATTCCTTTACAAAACATGAGGGGTGCCAGATTTTTGCTTGGTAAAAACCACGTGCGTTGTAGCATATGGTTCTTAATTTTCAATATTAGTCTTCTTCCAGATATTTTTCATGCAAACCATCTTTCTGTAAGTCAAAGATCAGATCCATCAAGTATTAAATCTAGGAAATCGACACTGAACTAGATTACTTATAATATGTGGGACTAATTGAGTAACATTTTCTAGCATACAGTCAAAGCAACAGCTTCTTAGCACCAGCTTCTTTGAACTATAGCAGGTATACACCATTCAGTGGATGAGAAGATGACAACTGTGCAACCTCAGAGACAAAAGTTATTAAGCTTTGAAGACAGTATTCATTAGTAAATGAAACAAAAGATTCTATCAGTCAAGATTATCCGGTGCAATAGGCTAACATTTTCGTAATTACTACAACTTTAGAGACAGAGAAACCATGCGGAGATGTTGACTCACTGATCTTACCAAAGAGAAGATTAAAATGAGCAGAGTGTTGACATTTTAAGGCCAAGAACTTATGATTCTTACTCTTTCAAGCACAAAAAACTCCCAACCCAGAATGCTCCAAATTCAAATTCAGTTACAGTAATCTCCCAATCCAATTTTGGGAAGGGGCCACCAGAATTATGCATCAAACCCTCCATCTCTAACAGCCGTTTTCTCAAACTTCCAACATTCTTGTACAGCCATTTCAGTGACAGAAATCAACCCGACAATTGATGGGTTTACTCCGAGTTCATTTACATACATAATTCCCACTCCCAAGCAGAAAATTGACAACAACAGAAACAGGGCAAGTGAACTAAAATTGGAGGCCCATTATTGATGATTACCTGAGAATGAGATGGATGAGTTGAAGAAGTGACGAAGACTGTTGTTGGGAGTGAAACTCCTCCTAGTGACACTGCCGGAAACAATATCCACCGCCACCGGAGCCGCCTTCGTTGCTGCAGCTAGAAAAACCAAGGCTGAGTCTCCGCTACGGACAAGACGGTTCATGAGGCAGGAAATGGAGTCCAGTCAAATTCGGGACTTTAGAAAATGCCAGAAAGCGCCAATAATCATGTGTTTTGAGAAAATCTTTGGATTAATTCATCATTTAGTAGCTTAATTATTTGACTGTAGTACCGACCGTATCTGTTAATTGTTATAGAGAAATAATTTGGTAGTGATATGGAACCCACAACTTTCATGGTCAAATAAAAATGAGTGACATGAATCACGATGATAGTTTTTAGAGGAAAAATGACTCCAATTTTGTCTCAATCATCACTAACCTAATTTCTCATTTCAATTTAAGTGTTTAATTGTGAGAATTAGTTAGGATTGATATTGATGATTTATAAATATATATACATTGTACTCACTTACTCCCATAGAAATATGTGATATTGTATGTTGTAAATTGTATTATTTTTAATAGAATTTTACAATTTAGTTAGTACAATATAAATTTATTTTTTTATTTTTTTTGTGAGTCAAGGGAAGAAAGTTGATCAAAATAATTTGTTGCGGACAAACATTTGATGACAGATTCGAGAGAAAAATAGTACTCCATATGTTCATCTTTACGATGTTGAAATTCTTTGAATCTGCAGCTTGTGATTTGTGAATATTAGTACCAGAGTGATATTTGATCACTCAAATTTAATTCAACCCATGCCAATAGAATAACAGTCAATTTATATCATGCAAATGTTTAGTGTTTTAATATTCTTTCTGTTCCAAAATAATTGTTCATTTAAGATATTTATTTTTCGTGCAAATTTTATTAAAAATATAAAGTAGGTAATTATTTTGAGACGTAGGAAAGAAGTAAAAGTTAGAACAGTTCTAAAATTATCCAAACTATCCGGAAAACAAAAATTACGATAAACGTTTACCTTGTCTGAACTTAGTTTAGTGGCTTAATGATTATCTTGTTTTGTACATCTTCCTATCACTTGCCAATTACAAGCAGTTGCTTATATGTCTATCAATTCATATTACAAAACCAAGTTTCTATAACATACTTTTCTGCTTAGCTAAGTCTCTCTTATGACAAAACCTAAACTTGACCCTCACTTCCTCCTTGATCAGTTGCATTTTTTTCTTCCACCCCCACCCCCCACAAATGGTATATGATAGCAATCAAGGCAGCTAGCGTGAATCTTCTTTTCAATTTTGCTGATCTCCAAATGTACTTCAAATCCATCTTCCATTACTCATTCCGTCCTGTTAGCTTTTTAATTCCCAGTCATACCTTAATCCTGTCTAGCACATTGCTAGAGTAACAGCATTCAAAGTACAAGTACTTCAGGTTTTCTACCTGACTATTACATAAGCAACAACTAGTATTAGCTACATTAACATGCCATTTCATAAGTCTCTCTTTTGTCGACAACCTTCCTTTCCATATTGACCAAGCAATGAAAGAGTGTTTGGCATACTCAACCTTGGCCATATCCATTTAGCTTCTGCCCAAGGTTCTGCTCTTCCAATGAACCAGTTATAGACGTTATACTTGCCTGACCGGTTGTACTTCCACTTTATACCTTCAAACTCATCTTTTACTTGTCCTGAATTTTAAGTAGCTACTTCCAATGCCAGGTGATTCCAATTACATATTCAATTTTTGATTTATTATTATTTTTCTATAGGAATCGACAAGTGAGCCTGTTGGATGGTATTTATGTATTTTTGTATGAGTTTGGCATCTTTATATTAATTAATAAACATAAAATAATATTTTTGCTGTCCAAAAACTATTGTACCGTTTAAATTTCAGTTTTAGTTTAATTTGAATCAAAACTAAAAATTCAAATTGAACAATAATTTTGGGATGGAAAGTTTAAAACATAGTGAAACTGAAGGCTGCAAATGCATGTAAGCAAAAGAATCACAAATCAAACAGAAATGCAATTCATCGCCGTTTTATTACACCATTTTGTTTTTTTGCACCAAGTCAAACTCGATCGTAGTATATAATTACTTGAAATTTATCAAATCACTATAATGTACTCCTCCATACATTAAGTCCCATAAATATGAGAGTTATTATACGAAAAATTAATAACAAAAACTATAGATGAAAAAGTAAAGGTCCAAACAAACGTAAGAATGGTTTAATCAATAATGTTTTAACCAAAAAGCAAAATGTCCCGATTAATGATAAATTTTTAATCAATAACGGTTTTAATAATTGAGATCAGTTTATGATTAGGTTAGCAGGAAGGATAGAATTGAGTGAAAGGCATATATAAGTTTTCTAAGAAATGAGAAAGCCTCTTAAATAACTAGGACAAAAAATCATGTCGAAAATGTTTTATAGATAGAACGGAAGGAGTTCAAATTAGTGAAAACCCCTAAAAAAACCTTCTTAAGGTTTACAACTATAACAATATTGTTGATGACCATCGTGGACATGTGCAGTTGGAAACGATTATAGTGTTCAAAGTTCGAACTCATGATGTTGTTGATGCTTTTTGGCTTTGATGAAGAGCCTCTAACATTGGAGTGATAGAGAACAATTGTCGTTTCGAAACCCAATCCCGTACACCAAAAGGACTGTTTATCTGGTGATCCGTCTTTCTGTTCAGCCAATCGATATCATGAATTTGAGACGCAATCATCACGTTATTCACGATGAAAGGATGTTGCAACAACTTGGACGCGGACCACCTATATTTTGGATCCGTCACGAGACATTTCCCCAAGAAATCGACCGCCTCTTGAGATAAATGACACCGTTCTGGTATTTGAAATTTCCCGCCTAGAATTTGCCTTAATAAATCCCTATTAGTCGTTCCGAGTTTCCAAATGTGTTCTCCTGTTATCATCTCATACACAATGCATCTGAGTGACCAGATATCCGTACCCGTGTCGTGCAAACCAAAAGTCATTGATTCCGGCGACGAGTACATCGCCGTTCCCCGATTATAAAACCTGTCAAAATCTTGTGTCCCATGAGAAACCATATCATGAGGTTGTTCCGGCTCGGAAACCCATCGGGCGAACCCGAAATCTGCAATTTTCACTGATGGAGTAACCCTCGCGGAAACACGAGAACATTCTCGGGCTTCAAATCACAATGTACGATTCCGCGTGAATGGATCTCACACAATCCTGTGAGTAACATGCTTGCGTAACAAGCAACGTGGAATTCCGGCATGCCGCCGCCCTTGGACGACGACGCGATCAGTTCTCTGAGGCTACCTCCGGCTGCGTACTCCATTAGAAGATTGTAAACTATCCGGCCATTCTCGACACTCGTGTCATCCCCGAAACACTGGATGATGTTAGGGTTTGGAGCCGACATCCCGTCGTTGAATTCAGCCAAGAATTTCTTTTCTTCTCTCAACAAAAAGAGTTGGTTCCGTTCGGCTGTTTTGACCGCCATGCTGGATGGTTGGCAGTGACTGTAAGAAGCTACTCGGGTCGCCAAGAACACTTTGCCGTATGAACCGGATCCAAGCTCCTTCACCTTTTTCCAGCACTCCATTGATTAACGATTTCCTTGTTGGTTTCAAAACGTGGCTGAAGATTGTTGAAGTTTTTCTCAAGAAACAAGTTATTTCTACCCGATTGATCTTCTTCGATCGTGATCCTAATCGTAATTCGTTAACATGCTCTGGTATATATATATATATATATAGAGACAGCAAAATAATTTCTGTTCCAAAAAGGAATCAGTTTTAGTATAGGATCTACCAATCTGGCCACTTGTTTGCTTCCGAGTGATATTTGGATTTTTTTTTTCCTAACAAAATAATTTCTTTTTTTTTTTGGTAAAGATGTAAATATATTGATGAAAGATCTCAGCTAAGCACATATTTACAAACCAAAAGCTCACTATTACAGACTGCACCAAAAAACAAAACTACTCTGAACTATTTACATTGGAAGATTAAACAGCTTTGACAAAAAGGCAGCCTCAAGGCCTGTTTTCCTGGATCCAGTATAAGTCCCCAATCTCCATTGTATCTCTTGTTGAATACTTTTCAGCACTTCTATTTCATCTCTGCATTTTTCAGTGTGTATTACTGCATTTCTTTCTCTCCAAACATTGTATATTAATGCCGCCATTGTAGCGCACAAAACACCTCTTTGCACTCTCCTTCCCCTCCAGTATCCCAACACAAACTTCCTCCATTCCTTCTGGTTTCTGAACTGTTCCTTATGCCTAACCACAGCATTATTTGTTCCATTAGGCCAGCAGCAAACTTACAATCAAAGAACAAATGCTCTGTATTTTCTAAACCATGCTGACAGAACACACAACTAGCTTCTCCATTCAACAGATTTAATTTTATCAATCTTTCTCTAGTAAGAAGTCTGTTTTGCTAGAATAACCAGACAATGAAACAGTGCCTGGGGGCATTAAACCGAGACCATACAAATTGAGATGCTTCTGCCCTAGTTCCTTCTCCTATTAACCAGTTATACCCAGAGGAAATAAAGTACATACCTGAAGTTGTATGCTTCCATTTAGTATCTTTAACCTCATTCTTCATTAATTCCTTCAATTTTAAATCTGCTTCCATTGCCAACTTGCTCCCTGTGTTGGTTGCAAGTTCCAAAAACTTTGCTGCTTTATATAAATCTCATGGATCCATTTTACCCATAGATTGTCATCCTTTTTAGCTAAACTCTAGACCTGTTTCATGATGGCTACCTGGTTCCACTTTTGTGCATCTTTAATGCCCAAACCCCCAGCTTTCTGACTTCTACAAGCCTTCTCCCAATTGACAAGTGGTAATCTGGATCCATCTTCCTTTATACCCCATAGGAATGTTCTACAAACTCTATTCACTTGTTGAGTTATACTCTGGGGAAGGATAAAAGCCTGAGCCCAATAGTTTTGCATTGACATAACGATAGAATTAATCAATTGCTGCCTTCCTGCATAACTGAGGTTGTGAGTACTCCAGCATCTAACTTTGGCAGTCATCTTCTGAACCAAAGGGTCGCATTCAAGCTCGCTCCATTTCTTGGGTGAAATGGGAACACCCAAATATTTTATTGGAAATGTCCCAGCTCTAAATCCAGTTATCTCACAGATTTTCTTCCTCAAGTCTTTTGAAACTCCTCCGAAATATATGTCTGACTTCAAAGCGTTTGCCACCAGGCCTATAGTTGGTGAGAACTTATTAAGTACTTCCACTACTTTCTTGACAGTATACTCATCTACTTTACAGAAGACTATAAGGTCATCTATAAAGCAGGTGTTGTTAACTTCAAGCTCTTGCATTGTGGATGAAACTTGAAGGATTTGTCTTCGGCTGCTTCATTGAGTAATTTGGTTAAATATTCTATGATTAGAACAAAAATCAATGGTGACATGGGGTCCCCCTGCCTCAATCCCCTCTGTCCCTTGAAATAACCACAACTTGTACCGTTTAAATTCACCAAAAAAGAAGTGGAGGTTATACATTCAATCACCTTTGCCGAAAAACTCATAGGAAAGCCATATCCATCCATCATCTCTTATGATCTGCCATTCCACACAGTCATAAGCTTTTCGTAAGTCTATTTTCATAAGGCACCTTCCACTCACATTTTGCCTTCTGAAAATCCCAATCAGTTCCTGCGTTATCAGCATATTGTGCAGGATCAGACGTTTACTCACAAACGCACATTGGTTTGATTCCACCATATCTGGAAGTACAAGCTTCAACCGCTCACATAGGATCTTCGATATGCATTTATAAATTACGTTACAACATGCAATCGGTCGATATTCTGCCACATTCTGAGGTTGATTTGTTTTTGGGATTAAAGCCAGCATTGTAGCATTAAACTGCTTGAGGAGCTTTCCAGTTGCAAAAAATTCCATAATAGCTTCAATCACGTCTGATTTGACTATTTTCCGAACACCTTTATAAAATCCACTTCCAAAGCCATCCAGGCCAGTGCTTTTATCACTATGAATTTCTCATACTGTCTTTTTAATTTCGCCTGGTGTTACTATTTTCAGAAGGTCCATCTGTTGTTGCCAGCTTAGTTGGTACCCTCTATTGAAGATTCCTGGATCAGAGGACTTTTTGCTGCTACTCTGTCCCAGCTGTTTTGAAAGTACTCCACAAAATGCTCCTTTACTTTTTCCCAGTCTACTATCAGTTCTCCATGTTCACCAGCTATTGAAGTGATTCTGTTCCTCATGGTTCTGATTTTCACTCTTGCATGAAAGTATGCAGAGTTGCTATCTCCCAGCTTGATCCATTTCTCCTTCTCCTTCTGTGCCAAAAAACTTTCAGCTGCTAAATTGGTTTTCATGTAGGTCTGGTACAACTCCCTTTCCTCCTGTTGCATCCTTTCATCATTAGGATTAGTATTTAGTCTCTCCTGTAATCTTTCCACCTGCTCCCTTACATCTTGTGCTTGGTTCTGGATATCTGAGAAGAGACTTCTATTCAGCTTCTTAACTCCAGGTGTCAGATTCTTTAACTTTCGGGCCAGTTGATACATCTTCGTGCCTCTATATTCTTTCTTCCATACTTCTTCAACTACTTCTTTAAATTCCTTGGTTTGGCACCACATGTTGAAAAATTTGAATGGAACAATCTGCTTGTTGATCATTACATCCGTCTGCACAATTATTGGAGTATGTTCCGATATCCCAGGAGTAAGAATCGTACCCATAGAGTTTAGAAATTTTAGCATCCAATCACCATTTACCATGACTCTGTCTATCTTAGAGCAAATTCTGACATCCCCAAGACGATTGTTGCTCCATGTGTATCTCTGTCCTTGTTGCATCAAATCCTGCATTTTGCATTCCTCGACACATCTCTGTAGTCCCTGTACTTCATTCAGAGCCATACTGGAACCTCCTAATCTTTCATCTCTCCTAAGAACATTATTGAAATCCCTATAGTTATCCAAGGACACTGGATGTATCCCGAGATATCAATAAGGTCTTTCCATAATTGCTCTCTTTCACTAAGAGAATTGGAAGCATAAATCACAGTACAATAACAAAATAATTTCAATAGCTATTAAGCTAGTGATTTTTTTATTTACATTCCGTACATGATACTCCCTCCATCCCACAAATATAGTCCAGTTTCATAAAAAATTTTATCCCAAACAAATAGTTCAGTTTCAAAAGTCAAAATTAAAACATAAAATGACTTAATTGCCCTTTTTGATAAGGAATTCAATCAGTCACGATTAACGCTGAACTTGAGCTTCCGTCATTTCCGGCGATCGATGGAGATCGGCTTTTATGCGAGGCAATGTGAACTGATGGCTTGCATCAACCACACCGTGGAGTTTCCATCCCATGGGAGGTACGCCGTCGTCCTCTTCGGCGATGGTGACCGGTTTTGGGCAATCTGGCACCACCGCTTGAAGGGACATCCGGTGACCAGCGAATTCGACGCAGGAGTGCGATTGCCAATCGCGGCTAAGAAAAGGTTAAGATTGATGCGATCTCCCTTTTGAAAAAAAAAACGTTGAAGGAGAACGAGCCGAAGCTTGATGCTTAAGGTGTGGGAGCAACGGCGATGCGGGGCTCATCAATATGAAATCTTAAACGTCCGGTGGCCGATCCAAGCACGTCTTACAGATGGAAAGTTGAGCTATTTGGGCCTTTGGAAAGCCTACTGCTTTTTCTTTTCACTTTTTTAAATATTTAGTTTGATGGTTAAATTAAAAATTGATTGGGGCAAAAATGAAAATTCAAAGAATAAAATGAGTTGTATCTTGTTGGGGTTGATTAAATTAAAAAAATTGTACATTTAGAAACTGAACTATTTTTATGGGATGGAGGGAGTAAAAAATAGTGGAAACAAAGCTTATGTAATACTCCCTCCGTTCCATAATTATTGTCTATTTTGACAAAAAAATTGTCCCAAAATTATTATGTGATTTGGCTTTTTATAGAGTCATTTACATGTTTGCCCTTTAGTCTATTGACTGGAAATCATGTTATCCCGTTGACTACACACAACACACAGTAAAAGTGAACACAACTAAAGAAGCGAAACTAAGCCCATACTCCGACGGCTCAAAGCGGCAGTGAGGGCGAGCTGGCCGGTGTTTGTTTGAGTTCCAGATCTACATCCCAGATATACTAATACTATCCCAGGAAAAAGATTTAATAAACATGCCCCAATCATTAAGAACTTATCACTTTACACCAGTGTAAATATAACAAAATATGTCCTGAAGCAAAGATATAAAAGGACCAAAAAATCAACCCATATGAAAGATACAAATGAAGACAAATCATCTATATAGTGTAGATAACCGTTGAAACCTTTCCAAGTTGGTTCACCTTAATATCCTTCAAATCAAGGACTGTATATCCGGTAGAATATTCAATCAAGGGATTCTTGATTGACCTTCCCATAATAGCTTTATTCTTATCACTAGTGTATAGTTCAGTGTGTATATATGTGTACCCTTGTACCATAAACTAAGTATGAATGAAAGCCATAGATGAAAAACTCATTCCTTGTATCTGATACTTATTTTAACTTATAGGACAACTAAAACATTATCAGTCAACAATCCAGAACTAATTTCCCCTTAAAGAAGCAAATTACTCCCATGGGGCACAAACAGAAAACAACTATAATCAAAATCAATACTAGAAAATTAACAGTGACCCACTTTCATTTTCCAAACGTATTCAACCCAGTTAAAACTTCCAAAATCCCAAACAAAATAAAAAATTAATTACCCTTCTTAAATAAGTCTGGACTTATAGACTTAGATTAGAAGAAGGTTTATTTGTATCGTTAGGGGCTGAAGAAAAAAATAGCCGTATGATTTTCTGGGAACGACGATGCACATATGAAAAGAGGGGGGGGGGTGGGTTGGGGGCTGCTATCAATGAGAACATCCCAAAACTACAGACAAAGTTACATTTCGTAGATAGAAATAATTGAGAGCTAGCAAAAACTCTTTTGTGAATATAGTCCCATCATTTGAGGTGTCTGAAACAACCTATCATATTTTGTATTCAGCGACTTTATGAATTGTGAATCATGCTATGTACCAAAAGTTGAATCATAAGAATTCTGACATCGTTTTGAAGTAACAAATATAAGGAAAAATATATTGTACAGATCCGTAATAAGGATTCAAAGTCAATTGACAATTTCAATGCCTTTCAACGGTTTCCCAGAATGAAGTTGTAAGGCAACCTCACCCACGACCTGTAACTCACACGAAAAAGAAACATGATACTATCAGGTATGATTCCGTCTCAAATTGGAATAATCTATTTCGTTGAATGAAAACAATATAACAAATTAGACTATTAAATGAGAACGTAATACTAACTTAAATACATCTTGCTCACCCAGATCTAAGCATTTCGTTTAAAGCCATTTTTAACGTTTACTACTTGAAGTTACTTTTCGAACTTTCCATGCAAATCCCTCCATCATCGTAGAGAGTAAATAGTTTTACTTATAACTTATAGTTAGGGTTTAAGCAGAATTATAATGTGAAGGGGAATTAGTTCTCACGGCTCTTTTTGTCGAAAAAAAATAGTCTATACTCAAATTTGTACTGAAATTAGTACAAATCTCAAAACTGCAAACTATTTTTTTGAGCTAAATGTAATTACTTTTTGTGTTATACTAGTAAGACACTCTCCACGACTGATATACACAACAATTCGAAGTCATCAAAGAATGAACAAAACAGACATAACAATCTGAATTCCTTAGCCATGTATCTGCAAGAAGGTTCAATAACCCCGGGAACATGGGGTATAAAAATGACATTAGGAAACTTGAGGATGTCATCATCAGGATCAAAAGGCTCGTTCCAAGCAACATCCATTCCTAATCCGCCCAAGCGTCCAGATTTAAGATGACGAAAAACTGCCTGGTAATCCAACAGGCCACCTCTCGCTATATTCACCAGAATTGCACCCTGAAACAACATCATTATCATAAGCATTTAACAAAGGATCATAGAAAATGTCATCGTGCTACTACAATATTAATTGGAGGCGCCATAGATATACCTTTTTCATCGACGAAATGAAAGCCTCGTTGACAATGCTAGCCTGGAAGGACCCCTTTAGGAATTAGACTATGGCTTAGCTAAAGTAAAGTGAATACAAGAAGTAGAAGCACTATGAAGGATAACTTTGACTAATATATATCTACCTTCATTTATTTTTATCCGTCCCTTTAGGGTTTGCATACTATTGAATGAAAGAATGATTGGAATTCAATTTTTTAAGTGCATTGTCTTTCTTTTCCCTAATTAAACGTATTGGAACTCTAGAAAAATTTGAAATCGGAAAGAAAAAAATTGGTAGTTTTCTTTAATATATTATATTAAAAGTAGAGAGATAATTGTGAAATTGAAAAAATAATGTTTAATGCTTCACAGGAAATGAAATGCAGTAGATAAAAATAAAGTTTTGAGTTCACCTTAAAGTGAAAAATAAAAGTAAACGCAGGTAGTAATGCAATAAGGATGCAACGATGAGAGAGGTCTTACTGTTTCTGTGTTCATTCCTAAACAACAAACAACTATATTAGCTTCACGGGCAAAATCATGAATGTCTCTGTGATTTCCCTTTACGTCCACAAGACCACCTTCAAAATTGCAGGAATTCTTTGCATCAAAGGGGCCTTCTTCCCAGCTTCGTTTAGTGGGTATGATCTTCACACCAAATGGGTGCAAGCGCTTCGCCAAGCTAATCCCAATGCTTCCCAAACCCATAATGAATACCTAGTTAAAAGTAACAATCGCATTGAGAACAACAATAATCATATGAAAATATCCTCATATATTTATATATATATATAGGAGGTAGTACCCCAAAAATAAACGTGACAACCCTTAAAAACAATATATATATATATCTATATATATATATATATATATATATATATATATAGAGGTAGTAGAAACTTACTGTCTTTCCCATCAAGTTGTTACCAACTGGTTCTCTAAGTTTTTTTTTGGTTTACTGCAATTTGTATTTCGTTATGCATCAAATGCATATATGAACCAGTAAATACAAAATCAAATAAGTTATCAACATTGACTAAAATCCCGCATTTCCTTGATTATTATACATATAACGTATGCTTCCCTCCAACCGTATATATAGTTATCCAAAATTTTTAAATAATTTCAATATGGAATTTGCGAGATTTATTTACATATCCAAATTTTTTATGAAACTGATAAACTTAAGTAATCCCTTAACAAAAGTTTAGGTTGTGCTATATATAAAATTTGGTTTTAAAAAATACACTATTACTGTGATACCGAGGAAAGAAGCGTTCTAACCTATTTCCGTAAAGTTTAGGCCTCTCGTCCTAATCTAATACAGGTATATTTTTCAAAAAAAATTAAAAAAAAAAAAACAAAACAAAACATACCTGCCTACGAAGAAGACCCAACATTAGAAACATGGCCATTTCAACACAGGAATCTGCATTTCCAGTTGCACCACCTGGAATTTTAGCAACCTTGATTCCATGCTTTGTAGCAGCACTTGTGTCAATACCTTAATTTATTCACAAATATGAAAAGGGAGAAAGCAGAAAACCTTATCATGGCTGAGTGAACAGTATTTTAAGTCACTTTAATGAGAGAAAAAGTCACCCCAATTTTTACATGACAAAATTATAATTTCATCCCAAATTTATGTATAAAAATCCTTAAAAACAAACCAGACATGTGGAGAGTTAATCAGTTAAATAATTTTAACGCTAAGAACAGTGGTCAAAAAGGCGTGTTTGCTAGCAAGAGTTAAAATATAAAATAACAGTGCTTTCTTTATCTCGAAAAAATAATCTACATTGATTTTTGAGATTTGTGTTTAAAATAGTACAAATTTCAAAACTCTATTTTGTCATACAGAGATATATAGTATATAATAGAATAGGAAACAGGTATGAATCTTTCACGAAACTTGAGATAATATCATTACCTTACAATCCAACTCCAAACTGCATTATAAGCTTCATATTTTCTAGTCAGGAGATGAGCTCTGAGTTCAATTTCATGCTTTTAACTACAAAGATATCATACGTTCCAATTACGTCGGGCACATCTTCAAATGGGACGATATCAACCTGCAAGAAAAACACGAGGAAAATGAAGAACTTCAACATATGCAAATTAATGTATTATCTTTTCATTCTTTTTGAATTGATTAAATATAATTATACAATTTCGCTTTTAGGTTTTTTTGTCTGTGTCAAACTCCCTCTATCTCAAAATTATTGTTCAGCTTAGATTTTTTACTTTTTAGTTCAGTTTGCCTAAAACTGAAATATCAAACTGGACAATAATTTGGGGACGGAAGGGGCAACATTTATTAAGCAACCTCCGTAACATTTTTCTTCGTGATATATGACCGTGGAAAAAAGCCTATTATAATTAAGGGGAAATATATGGAACCCGTATGAATGGAAAATTCTGCACGTATTATCTTGTATATTCATGGAAAGCTGGAAAATGAGACCCACAAAATAAAACACGGATAGTGCTATTTTGGCTTCCGTTTTCCGTCGTATCTTCTTGTCCTTCCATGGTACTTGACCTTCCTTTAAGATGGTCAAAAGTAAAGAGCATAGAGATAGAGTGAATATTATGAAAGTGAGCCATATATCAAATTAAGCTTGAAAAAGATTTTCAGGACAACTTATGATTTTTAAAAACCTGTGAATGGGACTGAAGTATAGACGTGACGATGAAGACGGTAGTTAGAAGTAGGAGTCCTGGTACCATCACCAGTAACGTTAACCACACGCGCCGTTGCCTTTGCCGGAGAAAGGATAGCCGAGATCATGGTACGGACAATAGGGTACATGAGGCAGCTGGAAATGAATATTCAGGCTATATATAATCCGAATAAAGAAAGTCTGCAAACAAAATATATATGTCATTAAGAAAATCTATCAGGAAAAAAATAAAGTTGTAAACTACCAGAAAATTACATCACAAACTTCCAAAAAAGCTCACATTTGAACTTGTATTCCTTATAAATAAGACCGGAATATATACATCTATCTATAGGTAAAATAGACAAACTCGTCAAGTTACTCCAAATTTTGGGCATAAAATTGTAGACCCAAGTACAATGATTACTTGAGAATCAAGTTGGCAATTAGGCGGGTAGGGCGGGTATTGGGTGGATATTTAATAGGTGAAAAGTTATTGGGTATGAAATATTAACTATCAATTTATTTTACACACAGTTGGGCATAGATAGGGATTAACGGATAGTCCTGTACACATTAGGATCCTGATAAGTACAATTATTGGGATTCCAATGAGATTTTTTCCATTTTTGTTTTTATCAATTTTAGTTTTTTGACAATTTTTTTTTCCTTCACTTTGTTATCAATTTTCCCCCACTCTTTTAAGTCTTTAAATTTTATAAACAAGGACGTTAAGTTTTTTTCCCCTCTGTTACTCTTTTGATTTTCTAGGCCTCAACATAAATGACTTTTTCTTAGTAAAAATACAAAAAAGAAAATAGAGAGAAAAAAAGAGTAATCAAGAAAATCATATTAAAATTACTTTTCATAACTGAACCAAAGCAAAAATCTAAAACCGCAATCCCTTGATAAAAAAATCCAAAGTTTGAGAATGATTGTCACTTTGACTTCAAATTTTTAATCCCGCAAGCCAAAACTACCATGACTAAATGGTCCAACCCGAAACATGGGTATTTCTTAAATGGATCACGACCTCATAGCCAACTCTGTCAAATTTGTGCAAATGCAGAAACAATGGAGGATGACAATTGACGGAATTGAGATGCGGCGGTGCGGCAGCGACAACTGAGGCTGAGCAATCGAATTTAAATCAACCTCAGCAGATCGGGGAAGCTGACTCGTTGAGGAGGAGGAGATGATGGAAGTGGTGGTGAATGATGACGACCCGGAGGCGACGTTGGAGATTCGTGATGATAATTATTATCTAGTGAGACAATCCCATGGGAAAGACTAGATTAGAGGTAGAGGTGGCTGTGGGAGTGGTCAGTGGTGGAAGTGACGGAGGAGGCTATGGCGGAAGAGGAAGAGTAAAGAGCACCAAGAAAAGTGGAGATTGAGGAATGTTCGTTCAATGCAATTTTATCATGCCCAGAATGTCCAATGCGACTCAAACCCAAACTCAATATTTACCCGCCCATAATTCACACTTACCCATATGTGGTCATTAAAATACGGGCAGAAATTACCCGCCCATTTTAATAATGGTTTTATTGGGATCCCAACGGGTTTAAGTATTTTTACCAGCTATACCTGAGAATTCGAGTGATGATGTGAAAAGCCTTCGTTTCCGCCACGGTTCATTGATATATATATATATATATATATATATATATATATATATAATAGGGAGTGATTATGGTTCAGTCAACTGAATCGTTCAGTCAAACTTAATAACCGCAGGATAATTGGGACTAAATAAGAGCCGTGAGATTGAAAAAGTGGGTGTTGCGAGAGAAAATACACCGATAACACTTGATTATTGAAGAATTATTAACCTGCAACCGATGAACCCAATTGATTCATTCCCTCATTTTAAACAAAGAAAATAAACCACTAAGCTCGCATTGCAGCAGTAGCAACACAGCCACAACCGCCGCCATGTCCCTTCTCCATCCTCCTGCCTCCCTTCTTTCATTCGCTAAAATTAATGAACCGAAATTTGATTGCCAAATCTGCTAATAGTTGCGGTCACACATAAACAAGAAAATGATCAGACACGCTTCATCACAATGACACATTCAGATTGGTTGTGAGTAAATAAAGATTCAATCTGCCTGAGTTGAAGTCATTGAGAACTCGTAAAAAGAATCAAACTGTTCAAGAATCTTGGAACTTCTACAATATGATCCTCCATATAGAGGAATACCTAGGATGGAGCGGGAGCCATAAAATTTGATAATATACTCGAAAGATACGAAAGAACCTCTCTGGGAAAGAGTGTATTGGAGTTCGAAAGATTCCATCTTGGAAGTAACCTTATAACAACATTAAGGCAGTAGAAAACCTTAATGATACTAATTAGGAATTCGAGAGAGTTTGTGCGAGAGAAATTTCCAAGGAAAGCGTTCTGGTTTTTTAAGTGCGGACATTTGGATCTCATTGAATATGAGCAAAACTCACTTAATGAGTTTATTAATGATGATTTCTTTATAAGGAGAATTGAATTTCGTTTCTAGAATCAAATTATCCGAGATGAGAAAAAAGAGTTATTGGATTTTTTACGCTCATGTATAGTGCTAATTAATGTGTAAATTGATCCTTGATTTGTTTTTAGACTCTCTACTGCTTTTGCAATTGTGATATGGCCACTGGCCAATGAGTCAATGAACTTGCTATGGGGTGTGGACTGTGGAGTATGGAGTAGCCAAAAATTCCAACCAAAATACGAGACATTATTGATTTTGAAAATGGTGCCCGGTGATTTTATGTGTGCGGCTGCTGGATTCATTAATCTTGTTCCAGTTAGGCGAGTTACACAAAATCTTAAGTTACGGCCTGATTAATTAGCAGGTTAAAGAATGATTTGGATTTATTAGTATGTATCTCACCCTATGTTCATGTATGACGTGTCAAGATTTTATTGGAAATACTTTGACTAGATGGTTCAGTCAAAAAGTAATAATTAGACCATAAAATTTTTCATATATATATATATATATATATCTTACTATATTAGAAACAAAAATCACACTTAAGAGAAAGCACCACCATTTGCCATGCGGCATTTCCACATCATATTTTTAAAATAAATCTTTATTTTCACATCTGCTAGACTTAAAAGTCAAATGCAGTCCAAATACACCTCCACCTTCTATTTTTGCCAAAACAAAAAAAAAGACGGGTTCATAAAAAAACCCAAATCCTCATCCACTTCTCCACGACAATCGACTCCCTAATCAATCCCTTCTCCACAATAATAAAAAAAAAAAAATTTCTCATCAATCATCAATTGAGAATATGTAGTGAAATATACTCATTTTCTATTAGCATGTTCAATCTTTTCATTAGTGATGATCAACTACATTCTGATCATATAAAATTTCGACTTCAAAAAATATCCTCTTTACCTTTCTATATAAACACAAAGGAAAAAAAATTCTCATTGATCTTGCTTCAGCCGTTGTCGTGATGCAATTACAGGTATTAAAATTTAAATGATTTTATTTCCAGATCATTTGTTTGGCTTTTATTATTTTTTTGTTTTTCCAGTTCAAGAATAATGTTATTACTATTATTTTTATGCGTCAATCCGTTACAGCTACCGTAACCGTTGTCAGGTAATATAATGTGATTTCTTATATAGTTAGTTAGCCTAGAAGTTTTGTATGATTTTAGTTCTATTTGGATTGAATTGATTAATTGAGTTTTTGTTACAAAGTGTGGTTTTTTAAATTTCTTTTTAATGTTTCATTCAATTAGAGTGGTTTTTTTTTTTAATTATGGAGTCTCAGTTTTTTTTTCCGTATATGATCAGTTACGAAGTGTGTTTTTTCTTTGTTTGATTGTTTTTTATTTTGTTTCATACTCCCAGTTGACCAATTATTATTATTATTATTACTTTATTTCATTGCAAATAAAGCGCGTTTTTATTTTGTGTTTGGCTTTCAAGAATATACTTTTTGAATCTTGGTTTTTGGACTTTTTTTAATTTTTCATCATCTAAATAGTTCAGGTCGCTTCTTCTAACTAATTTCTGACGAAGACTTTTATGAATTTGAGGGGGAGAGGGAAAGAATGATGTTTCTACGTTTATTTGTATTTTTATGCAACATTTTTACCTACAGAAAAAAAAAATTTCTCAATTTTAAATGGGCTATCTTTTACTTTCTTTTTTTTTTATTTGCCATGGTGAGGTGAGTTTTTTTTTGGTATAACTTGAAACCTATGCAAATTTACATTATTTTCATTCTCATATTTGTGATCACCTAATTTCATCAATTAACCAGTTTTAAAATCATATTTTTGATATTTTACTACTTATAAACTTTTGGAAGAAATAGTTTCAACAATTAAGCGTATACCCTTGGGAGAAAGCTTACTACAAATCTATTATAAATCTCCAAAACTAAGTATTGATTTGGCACAATCGGAGAACATCAATAAATTATCTTACTAATATTTAAACTTATTAGGATGCTTTTATATTTTGTCTAGCATTTAATTCAATACATATATTTGATCAAGTTTATTTATATTTAAGAAGTAACACTTATAAAATATTTCTAAAACGTACCGGGTCAAATACAATTTCTTTTTATGCCAAATACAAACATTTCTATGATCACACTTATAAAATATTTCTAAATTTTTTAAACATTTCTAAAATATATCGGGCCAAATACAAAATATTTTTTTTTTCAGATACAAACATTTCTAAAATGTACATTTATATTGGGTCAGGGTCGCGCATTGGGCGACCAGACATCACTAGTATATATAGAGCTGAGGACGTTAGGATTAATAATTTAGAAATGGCAGAAGCAATAAACACATGCTTTTAATTAACAATTAATTAATTAGGGATCATGGACAATGTCTACGGTACAGCACGACATTATCTCTTTGTATCATGCTTAGCGGACACATGCTTCTCTACTCGTGATTTATTGATTTAATTTTGTAAAACTCCCTCCGTCCCACAAAAATAGTCCAGTTTGATAAATAATCTTGTCCTACAAAAATAGTCCAGTTTCAACAAGTCAAAATTAAATTTAAAGAAAATGACTGAAATACCCTCAAGACTTCTACGGTCTAATAAAAAACTGACATTCAACAATTAACCCGATCTAAAATCATTATGCAGTCCCTC